TCCCTCCCGGCGCCTGGCCCGCCTCCTGCGGCATGACTGGAGCACCTCGCTGTGCCGACAGCAGAGCTCCTGCCGGCCCAGCACCCGGCACTAGCGGCTCTGTCGACAGGCCCCACCCCAGCCTCCTTCTGCCCACCCTGGGCGGTGGGCGGTGCAGTGACATTGCTCGGGGGTGCATTTCCATGCCCCGAGCAGAAGGGCACAGAGCGGACCCAGTCAGACAGGTCCTGCAGTCTTCTTGGGCGTGGGAAGTGGCACGGAAAGAGGGGAAACCTTCACATGCTTCCTTGGCATCGCAGGCCCCCGGACCGCAGACCTTCTGCCTGCCTGGCGTTACAGGCCGCTGCATGTCAAAGCCCCAGCACACGCCTGTGCACGTGTGAAGGCACAGAGGCAGGCGTGTGCCCCGTGCTCGCACCACGTGGAGGGTGGCCTTGCTGGCAGGCAGAGCTACTCAAGACAGCCCCTGGTTCTGAAGCACGTCCAGAAGTTGGTGGTGCAGGTCCCCAGCCTCCTGCAATGGTGTGTCCAGGTTTGCTGCTACCTGCCTGCTGGCGATGGTCACTTCATCAGGCCAGGACTCCCCAGAGGGACCAGCGAGAACCATTTGGTGCCCCCTTGCAACGCTGGCAGTGCCAGTGGGTGAGTGGGACGGCTGGTAGGATGCCTGAGTTTGTGCCTGGTGGCAGTGGCAGGGATCTCATGGTCCCCAGGTGTGGTGGGCCCTATGGGAGTGGCCCCAGGCCTTTGACATTAGGTGTGCTGCAGGGTGGGGCCACCTGGCCCACTTGTCCAGACTCCAGCGGGATGTCCAGGAGAACGAGGTCTGGCTCCAGGAACTTGTTGGATGCTGACGATGGTCCTGGGGAGGTGGCAGAAGAAAAGGGGCATCCTCTGGAACTGAGATGTGGATCAACCTTCTGCCCCCAGCAATGGCTCCAAATGCCAGGGGATGTGCAGGGCACGGCTTGGGGAGGAGGCACCTGGCAGTGGGGTGGGATGAAGAACTGCGTGTGCCTGGCACAGGGGGACGTGCAGGGCACAATTTGGAGAAGAGGTGCCTGGCAGCGGGGCGGGGCGGGAAGCAGAGCTGTGTGTACCAGTCACAGGGGCGAGCAGGGCACAGCTCGGGGAGGAGGCACCTGGCAGCGGGGCGGGGCGGGAAGCAGAGCTGTGTGTACCAGTCACAGGGGCGAGCAGGGCACAGCTCGGGGAGGAGGCACCTGGCAGCGGGGCGGGACGAGGAGCTGCGTGTACCAGTCACAGGGAGCATGCAGGGCACAATTTGGGGAGGAGGTGCCTGGCAGCGGGGTGGGACGAGGAGCTGCGTGTACCAGTCACAGGGAGCATGCAGGGCACAATTTGGGGAGGAGGTGCCTGGCAGCGGGGTAGGACGAGGAGCTGCGTGTACCAGTCACAGGGAGCATGCAGGGCACAATTTGGGGAGGAGGTGCCTGGCAGCGGGGTAGGACGAGGAGCTGCGTGTACCAGTCACAGGGAGCATGCAGGGCACAATTTGGGGAGGAGGTGCCTGGCAGCGGGGTAGGACGAGGAGCTGCGTGTACCAGTCACAGGGAGCATGCAGGGCACAATTTGGGGAGGAGGTGCCTGGCAGCGGGGTGGGACGAGGAGCTGCGTGTACCAGTCACAGGGAGCATGCAGGGCACAATTTGGGGAGGAGGTGCCTGGCAGCGGGGTGGGACGAGGAGCTGCGTGTACCAGTCACAGGGGCGAGCAGGGCACAGCTCGGGGAGGAGGTGCCTGGCAGCAGGGCGGGACGAGGAGCTGCGTGTACCAGTCACAGGGGCGAGCAGGGCACAGCTCGGGGAGGAGGTGCCTGGCAGCAGGGCGGGACGAGGAGCTGCGTGTACCAGTCACAGGGAGCATGCAGGGCACAATTTGGGGAGGAGGTGCCTGGCAGCAGGGTGGGACAAGGAGCTGCGTGTGCCTGGCACAGGGGGTTACTCTCCAGCCAAGCAAGGCCCTTGCTTTTCAGTATGGCTGGTCCCGGGACAGGCACCGTGGTTTCAGGGGCGCTCACTGCCAGCGATGGCTGCTGTGCAAGTGGGGGGCCCCTGTACGGGACATGGGGGAGCCCAGGTCTCACGGCTTCCCTCTTAGGTATTTATGGTGTTGAGTCCCTGGCACATGGAGAAGAGAAGTGAGCCAGCACACGAGTTCCACTGAGGCAGGAGAGGCACAGGGGGAGTTTGAAAGCCTGGAGTCTGGGGCACAGAGCTATTGAACCAGAGGGACAGTCTGTGCCTGCCTCAGCCCCGCAGTGAGTCCCTCTCTTAGCACACACAGACACGAGGGGCCAGGAGGCTCCGAGGTGAGCACGCGGCAGACAGGCATCGCCCCTCGTGTCCTCGGCTGGCGGCCCCGGGAGACGCCCTGCTCGCATGTGGCTCAACAGCCACTGCTCCAAAGCCCTCGGGCACTGGCACTCCGCCTTCCCCCTGGCAGAGCAGGGGACGGAGTCTTCCCAGGGACTTTGCGCGTTCCCAGCTCGCTGTCTCGGCTGCGCTGGGGTCCCTGCCTGGCCTGGACATTAGCAAGGAAAAGGACCCAGACAGAGCTGAGTGAGTGGCGGATGAGTCAGTTTGGGGGACGAACCGCCCCCAGTCTGGTGTGAGCCTGTCAATCACAGACGTGTCACGAGACCCCGCAGTGCGGGGTCCACTGGAAAATGGTCAGATTTGAACCTCACTCGGGAGTGCTTGGGGGCCCAGAAAAGGTGCTTGTCAGTGACATTTTTAATGGCCCCCGATCTAATCCCAGATCCTCCAGCAAGCTGCAGCCAGGACCCAGATACACCGGGAGGTGGGTGGCTCGTACCCTGAGCTGGAGCATCTGCCTCACTGGCTGCAGCCTGGGCAGACGTGGGGCTCAGGCCGGAATCCAGGGGTGCTGCCTACAAGGGCGTGCTGCCTGAGGGCACTGTCTGCACGGCTACTGGCAGTGCGAGGAGACTCTGGCACCTGGCTCGGCCCCGCTGCCGTGGGCTGCGCAGACACCCTGAGTCAGCACCTTGGCTATGCTACCCCCCTCGGCTGGAGCATGGCTCCCTGC